TTTCTCCTGAAAATTACGGACGGATGAATGATTAGTTAGCGAGAGCAGAAGCGAGCAGATGGTGGTTGGCTCCGATGAGGGTTCTGAATTTGGAGAGCGAGGAGCAAATCGGGAAACGGATAGGGGTAAAAAGGGGAATCATTTTAGTGATGAAGAGCGCAGTTACGTAATGGTTTATGGAGAGGCCATGACCGAAGGATGGAGCTCGAGAGTGACGAGTTTTACACGGAGACTGAGACTGAGTTTATTGTCATGGAGACTTCTGGTGTGGGAAAAGGGAGAAGTAATACAACAGTTGGAGAGACGAACACGGAGTGTGTGACGGTTTAGTCGGTCACCCACGCGGCAGGATAAGAATTAAGAAGCAAATTGAAATGTTTTTTAAGTTACAACTTTGCCCTTGGGTTTCGTCATATTTTCAACATTTGCCATGCCAACTTGCTTCCGCTGATTGTTACATTACGCGGTCGCTGTCTCGGTTATCGTTTCGGGCTGGTCCCCGCAGAATATATGATAAGGTGGGTCCGGGGTTAATTTGTTTGACTTTACAATTTGAAATAATATTAATTATTTCTATTTTCATTATTTTGTTATATTTTAGAATAAGTTTATTATTATTTATAGTATTACTTATTACGTAATTATTGTTCTAGATGGATAATTTGTGGTAGGTAAAATTGGTGAACTAATTAACCATGAATTACTATGATTAAGTATAAACTAATCTAGAAAATGACAAAATTAATAATGCCAATATTCTACATGTAGTAAATACCTTATTCTATTTAAGATAGGTTGCTATTAATTAATTTTACGTATAAATTTTGATAATTGAATGTTCAATTGAAAATCATGGACCGTTACTTAAAGCGGTATCACAATTAGGTTGTCTTATCATTTTAATTAGTCACGAGACGAAATCATTTGGTGCCACTATCATAATGTTTCTTATTGATGATATTACTTGGAAATATAAATAAATATTTCAAGTAACCTATAATAAATCTAATCACTATAAAAGTGAAATTACATAAAATATATTATTATTTAATTAAATTAAAATAAAAAAATAAGTGTGGGTTACTACTCACATGCAAAAGTTGACACCAAGCAGTCGGTTACTTTTATCATTATAATAATTCTGGTAGCGTCCAATTCCTACTCCGCAGCAATTCTTGGGGTAACAAAAAGAACTCTGGTAACGGCACGAGTTCTGTGGGCGACTACACGCCGCACTAGCCGTTAATTAGTTTTGCCACGTCATATGTTACTGACCACAAAATGAAAGCCCGTACCTACTAGCAGGCTTTTAACCGTTTTCGGCGCTCCACAATCAGCAAAATTTAATTCGGCTTTCTAATTAAGGACTTGTCTAAATTGAAGATGCATCGTAATCATCGAATGAATCTTACCTAGAAACAAATCTATTTATAAAAATTATTCCAGAATTCGGCTTTCTAATTAAGGATTTGTCTAAATTGAAGATGCTTCGTAATTATCAATGGATCTACCCTAAAAAAAATCACATTATAAAATTATTCCGAGTACATTTACGCGAGTAGATATTACCCTAACAATTTTTTTTTTTTTTATTAGACTTCTCTTGCAACCTATGACATTTGCAACTTCTATGGTAATAATATGATTTTGATTAGGCTAAAAAAAATCAGTAGCTCTTTTATCGGAAACAATCATTTCTTATTAAAAATAATTATTATTTAAAAAAAACAACTTAAGGATGACTTTAAATAAATAACAATCATTCTAATGAGGAAGAATCATTTTTTATGAAATGAGGTTGCTCTTGAAACGACATTCTTTAAATGAATGATGTTGTTTTTAATAATGCCTTGATGTAGTGTGAGCTGACGTGATAGTATCAATCTATTGACACATTAGTTTTGAGATTGGATATAAATATAGTATTTTTCCTTTTTTTTTTTTAATAAAGGTTGTCGTAGAAGGTTTATCCGATCATAATTTCAAGATTAAAAAGATTAATTAAGGTGCACACAAACTAGTTCATATGCTTCCCATCACTAAAAAAATAATCAAATTATCAAACTATATATAAATATGATTCTAGATCTTTTAAAATAATTTAGACTTAATTAATGTGGTAATCCTAATGATAAAAATTTGATATGGGTCTGACTCCTCACTCAATAAGGTCTTGTCGGTTGTAGGACTAACTTACCCTCACGATCAAACTCATATGTGGGTATGCCTGTTGACGAAAGAGTTGTTAGCTCAAACTCCCACCCACTGGTCAAACACTCAACTCAACTAAATATCAGCTCTGATATTATAATAGAATTGAGATAAACTTGATTCCTCATCCAATAAGGCTTGTGAATGGAAAGATACCTATTTTATAATTAGTAGACTTGAACGTAACTAATCGATATAAGACTCCAACAGATTTGTATAAATCAATTATGGCGTGAGCAATACTGTGCTTCATCACAAATGTTGTAAAGTGGAACGCAATGGAAATGGTAACTAAACATTGAGAACGTGTTGGTTTGGTAAGCATTTGAGACATGAGACAGTAGTACTGGATAAACAATGATAAAAAATGAAGAGTCACCGAAGATTGTGCACTGAATCTATGCACCGAATGATGTGCAAAATCCTAACCGTTTATTAATATTAACTGATACTAAATCAATGGTCAGAATTTATCACGGATTTGGTGTACAGATTTATGTGCAACTTGATGTGGCTGTAGCTTACTCAAACAATGATAACCAAACCGAACTAAATTATTACTCACAGAATTAAATTTATAAGTATAGAAGTGAGGAGGATAGACATTTATGATTCTGGTTGGTTTAGCGCGTGACAGGGGAGGATGAGTGATATAAGTTCTAGAGTTTGAGATACGTCATATGAGAAAGTGCCAACTGCCAAAGATAAAGAGGGTTAGAAGAAGGCCCACCCGGCAGTAATCGGAGCCTGATTCAACGGCCTTATTGACAACTTGTTTATATGGCCCAACAACAACTGTTTGTTTGCTTTGCTGCTGATCTTGTGGGAGCATCACATAATAAAATTACCTGTACGCGTCCTCATCATCACAATCAATTGAGTCAACGCCGTTACTTGTAGGTAATAAGACTTGATCCACGGGGTAAGTTAGCATAAATGTAAGTTATGTCAAATCGGCGACTTTCTTCTGCCAGTGGAAAAAGGAGGAAAGAGCAAAGCAAACAAATAGGACCCATTTTGTTAATAATCGATGAGCAAATGCCATGTTCTCATCCAGATTTAGTGAAAGGTTAAGTTTTCACCCTGATTTTAAATTATAATTTTTTATTTAAATTAATAAAAAATTATTAAGTAATGATTAAAGAGTTAAATAGTCATTCAAAATCTCAAATCTTGTTTGACTGAATTACATCTACTGGATGCGATTTGGTTGAAATCGCATTGGCTAGATGCGATTCCAACACTTGGACCTCCCCAGATACAAACTTCATCTCCTCTCCTAAACCATATCGAACCCAAATCTAAACTTTATACCCTAAGATCAAAACACCCCAATCCAAAAACTAAAACTTCGAGAATCCAAGAACACACAACTCCAATAAGCAAGACCAAATTGCCTCCCAACTAGTTTTCTTCACGGTCATAGCAAGAACACCTCCCCACGGAAACAAAGAGAGTGTTTTGTTAATTAATTAAACCGAGGTATTCATGGCAATTTTGTTAGTTAAATAATGGATTAAAGGTTAACCGCATGGATTTATTCATAATTAGGCACATGAAAGCATACACCAAAGACCTCTTAACATAATTTGCAATGATAAAAAGGCCTAAAAACAAATATTTAGATAAGATTATAAGTGGGAACTGTAACTTCAAACCATCTATTAAATTTGTGACTACTTGATCTATTAAATTTATAGGGTGTTCACTAGATCCTGCAAATTAGTTAAGATGCACGCAAACTGACACGTGTTAAAACATCAAAAAAATAAGAAAAAGAGGAGGTTAGGGTTCATTGAGCTGCACAAGCAATCGAATACAAAGAAGATTTAAACTAAATATAAGAAATTATATAGGCTAAACAAGGAACTGAAAAGATAGGGAACAATGAAAAGACTATTCTACCAAATAAACAAAAAAAAAAATAACTCTATATTTTTAACAGCACGAACACCCCGATTATTACCAAAGATCTTGTGTTCAAGTCCCACAAAATGTTACATATCACTTGGGTAAAAAAAAAAAAAAAAAAAAAAAAAAAAAAAAAAAAAAAAAACAATAGCTTAGGATTTTTGTTATTCTCCTGCCTAACCTAATATTGATAATTTGGGTAATTCATACGAGCTGTTTTATGATTTTGACAGTCGGTGGGCCAACAATATTAAAGCCCCAACCATGGTGGCTAACAGGCACATCACATGCTTCAATGCCAAGAAGAAAAGAAATACACGTGCATAATTTCATTTCCATCAACCAAAGCTGGACCATCCACCGACCTCTCTGTCCTCAAGTTTCCGTTAATAACCCAGTATAAACCATTGAATTGAATTAGAAGATGATTTGTCTAGTTAAATACTTTATAATAAAATTTATGTATTGTATGAATATTCCGTATATGTGTTGGAATATGATGAGGAGGAGATATTAAAATAGCATACTTATCTCTGATAATAATAATATGTTGAAGAGAAATCGTTTTGTCTGTAACTTATTGCAGTTATGGAGTCACATCTAAAGAAAGAGAGCAAAAATTGTTTTCTTCGCCTCTTCCAGAATTATTTGTTCTATTATAAGCAGACGACCAGGAAGGATCCTAGAGACAACATTAATTTGTGTGATTGTCTTATTATCTCTACAGTAGAACAGCTATCCAGACTAATGCCAGCACATGTTTGCTTCGAATAGTAAACTATGAAAGAACCGATTCTCAACAACCAAAGCAAATAATGGACCACCAAAAAATAGACTTGCTGCCACCGCAACCAGGTTGATACCCAACTCTGTATATGATTTCTCCATTCCTCAGTTTTTTTTTTTTTTCTTTTTCTGGGTCTTCTTAGATTATGAATCTTTCATAAGTAAATTTCAGGAAGGTTTGACACCATCCTGTCGAATTTAAACACTTGAAAGCTGCAAAAGTTCCTGTTACTTTCATTTTAACCGACAACATGCACCTATCTTTATATGGTAGATTTGTACTACCTTAAACTCTGCACTTTTCATGATCAACACTAAGTTCTGCATACCACCAGTGGAATTCTATGCACAATAACTCATAAGTTAAACAATTATGTAGTATTCAAGTACAAAAACATCTATTCATTCAATGAAATGGAACACCCATCTAACACGAAAAATCAGGTTCGGTGTGTTTTTCTTCAAGTCAATAAAAAAGACCAAACACCAAGCAATCTCCAATCTTTGTTCTTATCAACCAAGAAAATATTAAACGTCAAACTCCGGGGATGTCTGCAATGAATGGCAAATTTCTGCGGAATGAATAAAACAATTAGTCCCTTTTATAACCAAGGGTTTCAAATATTTATAAAGGAGATTTAGATGATTCTAACAAAGCTAAGATAATTCAGGTACACCAAAATATCCAAGTCTGAACTGTCAATGCCACAACCCAAAAACAACAAAAGATAATTCCAGTACACCAAAATATGCAAGTCTAACTCTCAATGTCTAAAACTTGAAAGAAATTAGAACATTCAACTCCTCAAAATGGTCATTTGGGTAACCAAGTCAAACTGAAACATTCATTAATCACAGAAATTTAAGCCTAATAAAAGCACTTTTAAAATTTCCCCTCTACTTCATGGTTCTATACACTACTAGAATTAAAGTAGCTGAAATGTATAGGTCGTGCCACCCATGCAGACTTGAGTAATGAAATTTCCATTAGCAGTTGCAATTCTTACAACAAAAGAAATATTTAGAAAAAGAACATCCTACAACACTTTCACTGTAAAAACTTAACCAAAAAAACAAAAACTACAAGAAAAAAATCTATGGGTATAAAAAAATTACAGAGAATGTGTAGAATGAATACCGGTCACCACCATTGATGAACTAGAACACCACTTTGTCTGAGAGAAGTAAACAAATTCAAACATTGTTCATATGTCTTCTCATACTTTGAACTCCTCTGACCAGGGCAACACCTCTGCCACCTATTATAATGACATTCAAGAAAGATCTCATCTATCAAACATATTGCCCCAGTTTCAAACAACCTCGGAATCAAATCAAACTCAGTCCCTTCCACATCCATCTTCATCACAACAAAGTCCTTCTCCGTTACCGTCTTCTTCAACCAATCTGCAAAATCAAACCCCTGAATAATATCCACTTCACCATCAAAACCACCATCCGACAACGATGTTTGTACAGGCTGAATTCTACCCATTCCTCGACCTTTAACCTCAACCTGCTTACCTGGGTCATGATTAATTTCAAAGGACAATGTCTCATTCCTCACCCAAGCTGCGTAAGGCAACAATTTAACTTTCTTTTTCACTTTATACTCTTCATGAAATGTTTTATCAGCCTCAATTGCATACACTTCAAAAGTTCTGTTCTGTTTCGGGTATTGCTTCCTAAACCAACTCCCTATACTAGACCCATAACTCCGAGCTCCAACATCAACATACACATATCTGTTCTTGAAACTTATATCAGCCATTGATGTTAAGTACTTTATATTCTTTATATTTCTCTTCAAAGTAATCCATGGCTTCAGTGGCTCTTCTAGAATCAGCGGTTCCGCCTTCCGGACTAATTCTTGTTTATACCCCGGAACCGAACACTTATTATCCGAATTGCCATCGGGTTGATTCAATTTGTTCCCCCCGTGACCAAGAATGATATCATTTTCAATTTCACCCTCCTTCTTTAACACCATTTCTCTAATATAAGGCATTGACGAATCAAAACCATCTATATCACGAGATTTCACTACTCGACAGCAAGAATTGAATAAATCAACAAACGAATTGAAACTATACGTGTCTTTAGCCTTCACATGGACCACCACAAATCCTTCGGGTTTCAGTGTCCGTACGATCTCCGCTGCAAAATCCAACGGCTTAGACGACTTGTCCAGTCTGGCCCCACCAACAAAGATGAAGTCAAACGTGTTACTTTTGAACGGTATACGGTGCCCCTCTCCGGTAATTACCAACGGCTTCGACGATTTCCGAAAAATTCCAACCGAGTCCTCCACTCCAATCTCTTTCAAGGCATACACTTCCTGGCCGTACTGAGTTTCCACGCACAACGACTTGGCGTTTGGATGAAGATAACCTTCGGCAATTAGATCCTGGAAAACCGATGAGTAGAATTGGACGGCTTTGATCCACTCTTTACTAGTGTACAGATCCTGACGACTAAGACTCGCCGGATTAGATCGAACGACTTTGTTGGCGGCCATCACCGAAGCTCCGGTACCGGCACCGGGAATAACCAGGTTGAAATTGTCCGGCAATGAAAAGAAACAAAAGTCGCCAATATTGCATGATTCACCAGTGATGGTAACAACGTAAACAAATCGAACGACTATGATTAAAACACTGAATAAAAGCAGCCGTACCAGAATGTTCCTCAGAAAACTAGGCTTGCCCGCGTTGGCCTCCATCATGTTTGTGTAAAAAAAAATTTCAAAAAAAAAAAAAAAAAAATGAATCAATCCAAAAAAAATGAATGAATGAAACTAAAATTCCTTTCTCCTAAAAATGTACGGACGGATGAAATGATTAGTTAGCGAGAGCAGAAGCGAGCAGATGTGTGGTTGGCTCCGATGAGGGTTTTGGATTTGGAGAGAGAGGAGCAAATCGGGAAACGGATAGGGGTAAAACGGGGAATCATTTTAGTGATGAAGAGCATGCAGTTACGTAATGTGTTTATGGAGAGGCCATGACCGAAGGATGGAGCTCAGAGAGTGACGAGTTTTACACGGAGACTGAGAATGAGTTTATTGTTAATGGAGACTTCTGGTGCTGGGAAAAGGGAGAAGTAATACAACAGTTGGGGAGACGAACACGGAACACGGAGTGTGTGACCGGTTTAGTCGGTCACCCACGCGGCAGGGTAAGAATTAAGAACCAAATTGAAATGTATTTTTAAGTTACAACTTTGCCCTTGGTTTTCGTCATATTTTCAACATTTGCCATGCCAACTTGCTTCCGCTGATTGTTACATTACGCGGTCGCTGTCTTCGGCTTTATGCGTTTCGGCGGGCTGGGCCGCAGAATATATGATAAGGTGGGTCCGGGGTTAATTTGTTTGACTATTTACAATTTGAAATAATATTAATTATTTTCTATTTTTCATATTATTTTGTGTTATATTTTAGAATAAGTTTATTTATTTATTTATAGTTATTACTTATTACGTAATTATTGTTCTAGATGGATAATTTGTGGTAGGTAAAATTGGTTGAACTAATTAACCATGAATTGTACTATGGTCAAGTATTAAACTAATCGAGAAAATGACAAAATTATATAATGCAAAATATTCTACAATGTAGTAAATACCTTATTCTATTTTAAGATAAGGTTTGCTATTAATTAATTTTTCGTATCTTAAATTTTGGTAATTGAATGTCCAATCGAAAATCATGGACCGTTTACTTAAAGCGGTATCACAATTAGGTTGTCTTGTCATTTTAATTAGTCACGAACGAAATCATTTGGTGCCCACTATCATAATGTTTCTTATTGATTGATATTACTTGGAAATATAAATAAATATTTTCAAGTAACCTATAATAAATCTAATCACTATAAAAAGTGAAATTACATAAATATCATTATTTATTATTTAATTAAATTAAAAATAAATAAAATAAGTGTGGGTTACTACTCACATGCAAAAGTTGACCCATGCAGTCGGTTACTTTTATCATTATAATAATTCTGGTAGCGTCCAATTCCTACTCCCGCGAGCAATTCTTGGGGTAACAAAAAGTAACTCTGGTAACGGCACGAGTTCTGTGGGCGCACTACACGCCGCACTAGCCGTTAATTAGTTTTGCCACGTCATATGTTACTGTACCACAAAATGAAAGCCCGTACCTACTAGCAGGCTTTTAACCGTTTTCGGCGCTCCCACAATCAGCAAAATTTAATTCGGCTTTCTAATTAAGGGCTTGTCTAAATTGAAGATGCATCGTAATCATCGAATGAATCTTACCCTAGAAACAAATCATATTTATAAAATTATTCCAGAATTCGGCTTTCTAATTAAGGATTTGTCTAAATTGAAGATGCATCGTAATTATCGAATGAATCTTACCCTAAAAATAAATCATATTATAAAATTATTCCGAGTACATTTACACGAGTAATATTACCCTAACAAATTTTTTTTTTTTTTTTTTTTTATTAGACTTCTCTTGCAACCTATGACATTTCCAACTTTTATTGTAATAAAATGGTTTTAATTAGACTAAAAAAAACCGTCGCTCTTTTACTGAAAATAATCATTTCTTATTAAAAAATGATTATTATTTATGAAAAAACAACTTAAGGAATGACTTATAAATAAATAACAATCATTCTTAATGAAATAAAGAATAATTTTTTATGAAATGAATGGTTGTTCCTTATAAATAAATGACTGTTTATTTTTAGTAATGCCCTTTGGTGTAATGCGAGTTGACGTAATAGTATCAATCTACTAACACGTTAGGGTTATGAGATTGGATTGTAAAGGTAATATTTTTTTTGTTAATAAAGGTTGTCGTTAGAAGGTTTATCCGGTCATTAATTTCAGGATTATAAAAGATTAATCAAGGTACACACAAACTAGTTCATATGCCTCCAATCACTAAAAAAATAATCATATTATAAAACATATATATAAATCTGATTCTAATGATCTTTTAAAATAATTTAAGACTTAATTAATGTGTTAATCCTAATGATAGAATTTAATATGGGTCTGACTCTTCACCCAATAAGGTCTTGTCGCTGTCAGACTCCAACACTCTCTCTCACGATCAAGCTCATATGTTGGGTCATGTCCGTTGATAGAAGTAGTTATTGACTCCAACTTCTCGCTCGTTGATCAAACACTCAGTTCAATTGAATCTCAACTCTGATACCATGATAGAATTTGAGATAAACTTGACTCCTCACCTAATAAGATCTTATTAAATGAAAAGATTACCTTATCTTATAAATCAATATGTTTAAACATACTTAATCGGTGTGAGACTCTAACGGATTTGTATAAATCAATTATGGCATGAGCAATATCTTGTGCTTCGTCACAAAATGTTGTAAAGTGGATACGCAACTGGAAATTGGTACACCAAAACATTGAGAACGTGTTGGTTTGGTAAGAATTTGAGACATGACACAGCTGGAACTGGATAAACAATGACAACCAAATCGAATTAAATTATTACTCACCGAATTAAATTTAATAATGTCTAGAAGTGAGGAGGATAGAACATTTATGATTCTGGTTGGTTCAGCGCGTGACACGGGGAGGATGAGTGATAAGTTCTAGAGTTTGAGATACGTCATGAGAGAAAGTGCCAACTGCCAAAGAATAAAGAGGGTTAGAAGAAGGCCCACCCGGCAGTAATCGGAGCCCGATTCAACGGCCTTATTGACTAATTGCTTTTATATGGTCCAACAAACAACTGTTTGTTTGCTTTGCTGCTGATCTTGTGGGAGCATCACATAATAATAATTACCTGTACGCGTCCTCATCATCACAATCAATTGGGTCAACGCCGTTACTTGTAGGTAATAAGACTTGATCCACGGGGTTAGCATATTATGTCAAACCGATGCCACTTTTCTTATGCCAGTGGAAAAAAGAAGGAAAGAACAAGGCAAACAAATAGGACCCATTTTTGTTAATTAATTAATGAGCAAACGACATGTTCCACTCAAGGTTTAGTGAAATTGTAAGTTCTCGCTTCCGGTTTTATAAATTTCAAATTTTCACTCTTAAATTAATAAAAAATTATTTAATATAATGATTAAAGGGTAAAATAGTCATTCCAAATCCCAAATCTTATTTGATTGGAATTACATCTAGTTGGGTGTGATTTGGCCTGAATCGCATCCGGCTAGCTGCAATTCCAACACTTGGACCTCCACCAGATACAAACTTCATCTCCCCCTCCTGAAACCACATCAAACCCAAATCCAAACTTTATACCCTAAACTAAAAACATCCCCAATCCAAAAACTAAAACAATTCGAGAATCCAAGAACACACAACTCCAATCAAGCAAGACCAAATTGCCTCCCAACCAGTTTTCTTCACTGGTCACAGCAAGAACACCTCCCCACGGAAACAAAGAGGACCCATTTTTGTTAATTAATTAAACCGAGGTTATTCATGTCAATTTTGTTAGTTAAATAATGGATTAAAGGCTAACCGCATGGATTTATTCATAATTACGCACATGAAATGCATACTCCAAAGGCCTCTTTAATCATAATTTGCAATGATAAAAAGGCTCAAAACAAATATTTAGATAAGATTATAAGTAGGAACTGTAACTTCAGACAATTTATTAAATTTGTGATTTACCTTACCCATTAAACTTATACGGTGTTCAATAGACCTCATGAATTAGTTGAGATGCACGTAAACTGACATGAACACTTCGATTATCAAAAAAAAAAAAAAAAAAAAACTGCAGCTTTAAACTATTTATTAACCACTTGGTTGGTCACTTGATGGCAAGCCATTTGAGTGAGTTATCCAAAGATCTTGTGTTCAAGTTGCACAGAATGATTAGATATCACTTGGGGTAAAAAAAAAAAATATCCAGTAGCTTTAGGATTTTTATTATTCTCCTAGGCTTTAACCTAATTATTGATCATTTGGGTAATTCGTACGAGCTGTTTATATGATTTTGACAGTCGGTGGGCTTCAACAATATTTAAAGCTCCCAACCATGGTGGCTAACAGGCACATCACATGCTTCAATGCCAAGAAGAAAAGAAATACACGTGCATAATTTTCATTTCCATCAACCAAAGCTGGACCATCCACCGACCTCTCCTGTCCTCAAGTTTCCGTTTAATAACCCAGTAATAACCATTGAATTGAATTAGAAGATGATTTTGTCTAGTTAAATACTTTATAATAAAATTTTATTTTATTGTATGAATATTCCGTATATGTGTTGGAATATGATGAGGAGGAGATATTAAAATAGCATACTTTATCTCTGATAATAATAATAATGTTGAAGTAGAAATCGTTTTTTGTCTGTAACTTATTGCAGTTATGGAGTCACATCTAAAGAAAACAGAGCAACAATTGTTCTCTTCGCCTCTTCCAGTATTATTTTGTTCCCATTATAAGCTGACCACCAGGACGGATCCTAGAGACAGATGTGATTCATTTGGTGAATTGTCTTGGTTATCATCTACAGTAGAACATCTACGATATCGGCTTAAAGAGTGGACCAGAAAAGCCTTTATATTTTAGAAGTTGTTTCGTTGATAAATGGTGATGTTGGGAAGATGTTGACAGAAACCTGAGCGGGGACCCTGGAATGGAACTATGGAAGAGCCAATCTCTTGACAAGATGGGAATAATTGTTGTCCATGACTGGGGGACTTACAAGATTTATTGGTTCAACTATTCTGTACTTTTATGGGCTGAATGACTCATCTGGTCCAATCGTTGTGGACTCTGCATTCTGGAAGAATGGTCTTCATTTCTAGGGCTTTTAGAAACCCAAAAGGGTATTTTTAGAATTAAAATTCTCTATTGACATGTTAGGATTGTAAGATCGGATTGTAAACGTAAAATTTTTCAATTATTCTCTATTGTTAATAAAGATTGCCGTTAGAGGGTTTATCAGGTCATAATTTCATAATCATAAAAGATTAAATATATATGAATCTGATTCTAATTATCTTTTAAAATAATTTAAGACTTAATTAATGTGTTAATCTTAATGATAGAAATTGAAGTGGGTCTCACTCCTCACCCAATAAGACCTTGTTGAATGGAAAAATTACCCTCTCTTATAAACCAGTAGGCTTGAGTGT